ATGCTTCTACATGAATATGAAATAGAGTTTGTGTTCAGAAAAATTCGAAACATTCAAAATTTGGGCAATGTTTACCTCAGAGGGCCCTCTATTGTTATGCGCAGAACCGATGCGCAGAACGGACTTGACTTCCCCTTTAAATTATCATTGTTGACATTTTGAAATTCTGAAATCCATTCATCTAAACTATCGGCTGATAGGTCCCGTGTACGGTGGCACATAACTTGAAATTATGTTTCTTTGGCACGCAATTTTCCGACAGTTAGCAGTTTTCCGACAACATTTCTAATTTATCATGTTATGATAGGCGGTGCCCATGTACGAAGATTGCATAACGCCAATTCGTGCCAATTCTTGTCCCTCATGATTTCTGACGTCAAAGGGCGTCCAGTTATGCCGGAAGTTTTCAATATTGAGATAGAGACTTGATTCATTCTCATTGAACCTTTTCCATTATGGCACGAGGTGTCCAATTCGACCATTTAAATTTAAAAAAGTACATTCTGCGATTTCCTGTCGTGAATACGTGAATAGTGAGATTCAGATTTGACTTCCATCTTACTATCGCTACCATTAATTTAAATTAAGGAACAAGCAACTAACCAATCAGGTGCGTTTCCTATATTCGATTAACAAGTCAGATGCGTACTAAGTTAGTGAGTGGCGTGGTAACGGTAGTGGACTAGTAGTAAAGTAGACCTTGAAAGCACAGTGAGAGAGTTACCTTGAAAGCACATGCAGTGGCCATGCTTTCGTAAAACATTTTACCTTTGGTAAAGTTTAGTCAATTTTGGAAACATTTTAGTAATGAGATCCGATCTTTACTAAGATTTTGTTCAAATTCATCTTTCACTGGTATCTCGGGTAATAGAGATGGTAAAACTGAGCGATAAATGAGATCGTGTCATTGAATCGCTTTTAGCATTGAGACCCACTGCAAAACGCGCTCATTTCAAACATGCATGGAATAGGAAGTTAGATGGATTTTCCGGCTAGTCAACCTGTCAACCGCGACTGTCTGAACTGCTCCTTATTGCAAAACAGTCCAACTACGTGCCAAGGTAATCCAAACTTGCGGTAGCATAACCGTATGACAAGATTAACAAAGTAAAGCTTTAAAATGTCTAGTTATAATTCAACGAACAGTAAATAATGTATGTGATGCAGTTAATTAAGCACAGTTATCCCAAAATAAACATGATTTAATATTACATAGACATGAGCGGAAATGATTTCAGCCGCAGTTTGCGTTGAAGTTGACCAACAGTGCCGGGAGTGAGGATGAGAGATAATATATGCTTAATAATGCTTTCTTCTATATAAAGAGCTCTTGTCAGACTTGCGATAGCATTTAAAACCTAACAGTGAGAAAGTGTAGACACTACAATTATATATAATCAAATCAATTGATGTATATATAAACATGTATCAAAATGTGCAAGGGTAAAGTAATTGCGGCATTTGTTTCCAAACATTTCCTTCCTATTGGAACACTATTTGTCATCCCTCTTGGAATTATTTTTCCTGCTCCTGCAGTCTACCTTAATGGAAAACTACCTGTAGTCCAGATGTGTATTGTAACATTATTTTTTGTTATTGGAACAAAATTTCGTTTAACAGAGATTCAATCAGCTCTTCGTTGTTACAGAGAGACTGCCTTGGGAATAATCGTTGTTCTATTGCTCACTCCAGTTGTTGGAACGAAGTTACTAATGTTACCAAAGTTTCGACAGGTTCCCAGTGCAGAAAATGGTACATTGAACAATAGCTGGTCAATTGAATTACCAGATTTTGGTCCGGAGGAATTTCGTATTGGTCTACAGATATTTTGCGTTTCTCCATGCGCATCAGCATTTCCTACTGTAGTGGTGAGTGTATACTGCACTACGGTCAGTTTAGCATCTTTGCACTATAAAAAAAGTAGACAATTTTGAAAAAGCTCTTAATTTCACAAATCCGTTCATTTCATGAAATGTTTGATAAATATAGATTGTTTGGGTGCTTATAATGTAGAACAAACAAAAATCTTCCGCATGGGGGGGTCTTTTTTAGCAGCAATAAAAATAGCTTGCGCACGCAATTTAAAAGTTTATAACGCATTTTGTGTTCAATCTGTTCGTGGGCGAGAAATGTTACGTGTTTGATAAATGGTCCAAACATAGCTGCTGAAACTTTCATTTTTGGCACCAATGCCTATCACGCAGCTTAATTCATGCATTTACCTAATTTGCATATTGTTATCCTTTCTGTGTTGGTGTAATGTACTCAGGTGGATATGATGCTTGTGATGTTACTCGAGTGTATATCCACACCGGGCAAGCTTGAAAAATACGCCTGGCCACGGTGGGAATCAGAGTAACATCACAAGCATGCGAACAAACGGAGAAGGCGAACAAACGGAGAAGCGAACATGCGAACAAACGGAGAAGGCGAACAAACGGATTTATTTTATTATTCAGTTGAAACGTGCTCATGTACCTGAAGCTGACATAATACATTTTTACACTACCTGCGTCAGACCAGTCATGGAATTCAGCTGTCAAGTTTTCCACTTCGCCCTTCCTTCCTACTTATCTAATGCCCTGGAACGGGTTCAAAAGCGTGTTTTATCAATCATCTATCCACTGACAGGTTATGCGGATTGTTTACAAAAATCGGGCATCAAACCATTAAGTGACAGGCGTGTGGATGCATGCGAGAAACTGTTTAATGAAATCACCACAACACCAGTAGCTAATATGCATAATCATGTACCATCTAGATACTTTCCAAATTACGACCTTAGACACTCAAGGTCTTTTGTTGTTCCTCAGACCAAAACGAACAGATTTAGAAACAGTTTTTTCCCTTCATCTGCAAGGCATATCAATAATATTAACTGACAATCGATTCTGATATTCAGTTTTAGACTGGCTAACATTTTTTAGAAATTTACTAGTTTCATAGCTAATTTGTAATGTAACTTTAAACTTCTGTAATATAGAATTATAAATTGTAATGTAATTTTAAACTTCTGTAAATATAGAATAACTAATTTTAATCATTTCTCTTGTAAAATTTAGCACGCAATTCAGCCTTATTGGCTGCTATGTGTTAATCTTATTAAACAAACAATCTATCTATCTATCCATCTATCTAGTACATTACACCAACACAGAAGGGATCGTGATTACTAGATTACATCATTGATATCGAAAGAAATATCACATACTTGAACCGACCTGTCGACCGCGTAGCACAGTTGGCAGAGCATCAGGCTAGTATTCAAATGTCCGTAGGTTCGATTTCCACCGTGGCCAGGCGTATTTTTCAAGCTTGCCCGGTGTGGATATACACTCAGAGTAACATCACAAGCATGCATATTGTTATTGTAAAAAAAGTAAAATACACCGTCGGAACTGATGTTAACACTCGAAGAGCATTCTGGGACAGTTCGTTGTCTGGGTTGTCCAGTTGCAAGTTCCTACATTCAATCCGGTATACCATCTATTCTACTGTAGCAGGGTGCATACGACTATAATATATCTTGTATAGATTGAAGCTAATGCGTCGAAGTAGCCCTCTGTCAAAGAGCGAAAAAGTCCGATTTATCGGCGAGATATTGCACCGACTTGGTGAGACGTACAATATATTAGTTAGCAGGAGAAGGCCCTGCATGGTAATATATGCAGAATTGCCACACACTGGCAATCATTTGCTGAATTCATAGTCAGTGTTCGACGAACTTATTAATATATAGGCCATGCAGCTACTTTAATTCCTTTCTCAGTTTCTCTATCAAGCATAATTGATTTTATGCGCGCATTCGATCAGTTTACATTTCGCCGAATGTGCCAAGGTTGCGTCTAGGTGACCATTGCATGAGTGACCACGCAAACATGAATTTTATTTAGTAATGCAGGAATAATACATCTATTAGATTATTATTACCAAGAGATAGGGCTGATTTACACTTTCCAGGTTTTTTACTAGTTAGACTGATCAAAGTTATACTAGACTGAAAAGTAAATTATGCTTTAATCAATGTTGTTTGATTAATTTAAATTATAATTATATAATTTTATAGTTATTAGTAACCAGTTATATAACCATACAGAAAAAAACCACATAAAATAACCATGCACTACAATATTTTATGTACCTGAATAGGTACTTGTTAGAAATCTGGTTCCAATTTCTTGTCAAAAACAATTGTTCCTGGTTTTTAGTGCTTCCTTATAATTAGTGAGCTGTTTACAGTATGAACATATGACACGTCCAATAACTGCTATAAAAGCCTCAAATTTGTTTAGGTTAAGACCTTTATATATTTTTTATTTTGGATTCTTTATTGCCCAAATTTAAAGCTGGTGGTTCTTAATCCACTCATTCTTTTCTGTGAGTTTTCAGTGTAGCCCAAGCCAAACAAACATCCATTAGCGAGGTCGATTAAGAATAGGATATTTACTTATTACTTGCTAAGATTAATTGTGCCTTGTCCTTGATATCGGAGTGAAACTGGTATCTGAAACATTTCATCCATGTTGAACCAAATTTATGTGCATAGCTAGTTAAAGAGTTCAATTGATCGTTTTGCAAAGTTCAACTTGGTCGTTTTCAGTTCAGTGCAACAAATAAGTTATCAATTACAATCAGAATATTATCTTTAGTGACCTAATAAAACGGATTATCACAATCGGCACAGTAGCTAGGGTAGGCTATTATCAGTTCAATATCCTATGTCCACATGAAATTTAGTCATGACAATGACATCAAAATTGGAAAGGATATTAGTGCATGAGATGTGTTGTGTGTTTTAAAAGCTGTCCTCTGATTAACGCCGTAGTGCATCTTTAAACTACATGCTAACCCACCGTTGTGTGTTTTAGCAATGTTTCATGACTGGCCAAGCAGTATATCAGTGTCTTACGCCTATATTCTAAAAGCTCACTCGCGCTCAGAGAGTGGAGGTTCAGTCTGAGCTTCTCTTTACTGTCAGTGCTGTTTTTGAATAGCTGGAGGGTGAGTAGTCACATAGTAAAGTACGCATTAACCCTCCAGCTATTCAAAAACAGCACTGACACTCAAGGGAAGCCCAGATTGAACCTCCATGCACTCTATGAGTGTGAGTGAGCTTTTAGAATACAGGCGTTAATTTGGGGAGCATTTTTGCGTGCAACAAACTTTAATATCCACAGACCCCTGACTCATGAGCGAGTGCAGCATACGCTAAGGTTTGAGATAACCGAGTACGTTTCAAATTACTAATGGGCAAAGGCTACCTGCAGTACCAGGTTTGCCAAGATGAGCTGGCAATGTGGATTACATGTAGCACCGACTTTCTGTTGGGGCTAATAACGACGATTACTGGAAGATCTCTCAAGTGCAGCCCCCACTCCTAATGTTGGGAGCTTAGATTACAGTTGAATTGTAGCGTAGATGGAAATGATCGAGTAGAAATGTTTATACATTTATTAGACCTAACCAGGAACAGCTGCGAAAAAGGCAACATTAGGTCCCTGGCTGCGGCCCTGCGATTCCAGTGCAGCGCTCTAACCAATTGAGCTACAGAGGCCATTTGTCGAGCTCCAACCACAAGTTCATGCATATATACTATAGGGGTACTGCCGTGTGTAGGTTATGGGTAAATATCAAGATTTTGTTGGCATCTCACTAGATTGAATAATAGTTGAATTGGACATAATTCAACTGTTATTCAATCGAGTGAGGCCAACAAAATCTTGATATTAACTGGCCATAACCTACACATGGCAGTACCCTAATAATGTATATACTCTGCAGCTCAGTTGGTTAGAGTGCTGCACCGGAATCGCAGGTTCTATTCCTGCCAGGGACATAAAGTTACATTTTTCGCAGCTGTTCCTGATTAGGTCTAATACATGTATATAAATTTCTACTCAATAATTTGATATTCAGTACCGATAGCTTAGATTATCTCCCTCTTCTCTCCTGTTGCTGCCTCGAACATGGCTCGATCATGTTGTACAAAAGATATTGAGAAACATATCTTGGCTATATCATGTTGTAAACGGTATAGTGAAAATCAGTCCTAATGGCAAGGATAACCTTTCCTGCAGGAGGAGACTGGAGGTATTTACACCCCCGTGACCCGTGATCATAACTATGAAAAGGACATTGTAGTATATTAGCCTGATTGTCGAGTTTAATGACGTCCTATTCTTTGCAGGTAACAGCAGCCAATGGTAGTCGAGCACTGACATTATTGATTGCAGTAATAGCAACCACTATATCAGTCTTTACAGTTCCTGTTATGACTACATGGTTGATACCAGCATTTCAGACTGCCAGTGTTAGTAGCCTAACGATATTACCCAGCGTGATTCTGTTTATACTTTTGCCTTTGATTGTAAGTGTCGCTTTTATAATAATATATTGTTAGTGTATTCCGTGAATCATATTTACCGTCATTTTGACGAATTTGCATTATTATTCATTAGATATTATTTATTATATTGCTGTGGAGTCCATCCACAAAATGCAGCATTTCGATTGGAACGAGGACGAACTGAAAAACTGGCTTGACTATTTTTTCCATGCGGTCAAAAAAAAATTATATAAAATAACTTACTATTCCACCCTATGTTTGTGTTAAAACGTTGAATGTTACATGTTACGTATAATTGCCGCCATTGAACTGTTTTTTTTGGAACGAAAAATTATTATTAATTATTAAAAATTATTAATCTGTTTTATGTACCTAAAACTAGCTTTGAACTACTAAACTTTTCCATTCAATTTTCGTAACAAATTTCTTATATTATTTCTTCAGGTTGGACGACTTTTAAGATTCACTGGATTGGTAAAAAAGGTTGTTACCAAACTATATACATCTCTGAAGTTTGTTACTTCTGGGGCTCTCCTTGTTATGTTTTGGGTGAAAATTAGTCAAGCAACATCGAAAGGAGACCTTCAAAAATTTTCACCTTGGATGATTGTGGCTGTAACAGCTCTTGGTACAGCTGTGATTACGTCATTTCTTGTTTTTACCTTCATCCTTGCTTCTTTACTACGGCTACCTAAGAAATCAATCCTTGCTGTTACAGTGCTTTCATCAGCAAGAAATTCAAGTATAGCTATTACTGTTATTGAAAATTTACCAGGCAGTGTTGGGGACAAAGATCTCATGTTTTTCCCCATAATATTTGTCTATTTGGCTATGGTTGTTATTATCAATAGTTTTGGTTGTTTTATGACAATCAAGACAGAGGAAAATAACATTGAACAAGATAAGGACACGCTTGAAGACAAAGTTGATAGTACAGACAAATTTACTTTAGTTATCAATCCCTTGGATCAAGTACATGATATACCAAATACAAATGACTGCGTTACGTTGCCAATAGTACAGTGGTGTACGGCTGTATAAAGATTATGTTTAATTAGATTTAATCATGCTGGCCAGCTGTGCGCCATTCACATCATCACCAGTGTGCTATCATCCTGAAAGAGGTGCTGCACCAGGATTATGAAATTGTTATATAATCTCACGTTACTCACTGCTTGGCCAAACATTCTATATTTCATATCGAGAAAAAAATGAATATCTTCTTAAGACTTAAATCTTCAGGATTCGCCACATGTCAATACTAGTGAAATAATATTATACTCCTTGTATTTAAGCGCTTTCATACTACCAAATTTCAAATGTTTATTTTGAATTTTTCAAAATATCGGGTTTTACTCGCACGCGGTGCCACACGCTAAAATTGGCCAATAAGGAGTACACACGTAAAAACGCACAAGTTGTTACAGGTCTGGAAACAAGTTGTTACAAATCTGTTCACAAGCTGTCAACAATTCAATTCAATTCAATTCAAAGGTCTTTATTAAGTTCATAAGATAAAGATGCATATCCTATGTTACAATATGAAAAACAATTACTGGTACATTAAAATATCATATTATATTTTAAAATTATTCTATTAAAAAGGTGTTCATGAATCTGCACGTGTTTATCTTAGGACGTTCACCAAAAGTATTCCTCAAATTATATGTTACACGCTACTATGCTACAAGTTGTGTTCGCATTGCTTGTTCCCAGTTGTAACAAGTTTGGAACAAGATGTTAACAACTTATAACAAGCTCGATGGCATTATGAGACTTGTAGCAAAGTTGTTCTAACACTAAGTCTGATACAGTCATGATATAACAAGAATGTTACAAGGCTGATGACACAAGGTTGTAACAATATTGTTATATCATGACTGTATCGGACTTGTTGGACCAATCTTGCAACGTACAAGTCTGATAATATCAACAAGGTCGTTACAAGTTGTTAACAGTTTGTTACAAACTTGTTGACAACTTGGGACAAGCAGCGCGAAGACAACTTGTTGACAATACTACACACGTAAAAACGCACAAGTTGTAACAAACCTGCAGCAGACTTAGTGTAGCAATGCTGTTCCAACAACTTGTCAATGTGTTCGCACTGCTTGTTCCCAATTTGTTGGCAAGTTGTCAACGGCTTGTTGACAACTTGCTACAAGCTTGTTCAGCTCAACAGATTTGTTACAAGTTGTTCCAACAACTTGTTATCGTCCTACAATTCATCAATTTGTCGACAAGTTGTGATTGGCAACATTGTTGCAATTTGATAAAATAACAGCATTGTTACAACTTGTTGGCAAGCTTGCTACAAGTTTACGAGATTATCTAAAGTGCGAGCTGCGAGTTGCGAGTTGCAAGTTGCCAGTTACGACTATATTGTTAATTTCTAATAATATCGGGTTTAATTTTAACCCAGGGTCACAGGCGGCCCAATCTCGCAAATGTCAGTATAGACTTATAGTATAAATGTATATTATATTAATGTATATAATGGTGAAAATATGTCGTAAAATATAAATTTTAAAATGAAATTGACTTGCCTATTTGATAGTGTGTGTTCTCCTTTTATTCCTCCTTTGTTGGACTAATATTTTCGAAGACTTTGTACTCGATGTTACTAGTATACACGAAACATGATAAAGGCTAACGATTCCCGATCGTCGATCCGACGGCACGGCACTTCGAATCGAAAATTCTCACACTCAAATCGCTTTATTCTCAAAAAAAATTCGCCAGCATGTACAACAAATGCCGTTCTTCGAAAATACGGAGGTACTTCGGCGAGATGTACAAGTTTTGGACCATATTTTAACAATGGAAATCAAAACCCATTTTATATTGAACTTACTCGGACCGAAAATTACTACGGCGAACGTCTGCGCAACCAGGCCTCCTTTACCGTTGGATTTACAGGGGGGGAAGCAGATATTTCTGGTAACAGCCAGCCAATCGCGGCCGCGTAGCGACTGTTTACATTATTTGAAATTTGATATTCAAAATAAAAACTCCTTCGATCGGATACTGTATAAAACTCGAGATGTTGTCGAAGAAAAGGAAATTAAACGACGGAGATTGAAGAAATTTAAGGAAGAAGTAACATACAGCGGCTCTTTGTTGGAAAGTATGGTAGAATATGATACTTTAATTCGAAATATTATCGTGAGTACAGTATATTAGTGGCATCCTCCCCCCGCTGTAAATCCAACGGTAAAGGAGGCCTAGTTGCGCAGACGTTCGCCGTAGTAATTTTCGGTCCGGGTAAGTTCAATATAAAATGGGTTTTGATTTCCATTGTTAAAATATGGTCCAAAACTTTTAAAAACATCTCGCCGAAGTACCTCCGTATTTTCGAAGAACGGCATTTGTTGTAGTAGTTGTACATGCTGGCGAATTTTTTTGAGAATAAAGCGATTTGAGTGTGAGAATTTTCGATTCGAAGTGCCGTCGGATCGACGATCGGGAAACGTTAGCCTTTATCATGTTTCATGTATACTAGTAACATCGAGTACAAAGTCTAATATTAGTCCAACAAAGGAGGAATAAAAGGAGAACACACACTATCAAATAGGCAAGTCAATTTCATTTTAAAATTTATATTTTACGACATATTTTTACTATTATATACATTAATATAATATACATTTATACTATAAGTCTATACTGACCCTTGCGAGATTGGGCCGCGCGGCCTGTGCCATAGGGGAGAGACCGTGTTCAAGCGGGGAGAACGCCTGACATTTCAGGCTACCTGTGCCATGGTTAACACTAACCTAGCATTGAACCACCGAACCAGGTGTTCACCTATGGTTTACACTAAAAAATCAAATTGAAAACTGTACGGCATCCTGGCGGATGGGATTTTAGCTTTGTCTCAATTTGGCGCCAATTTTCAGCTTTTCAAAGAAAATTTGGTTTATTTATCTCTTCTCTCCTTTCTCATTCATTGCATTTATTTTTATACTTACAAACTTGTAAATAGCAATCGTTTTGATGTACTGATGGTTTTTTCCCGTGTTTAAATAAAGTTTATGTATGTATGTATAAAATGAATTATTTTAACTTCAGTTGTCCGAGCGTTCAGTATGTATTATTATAATATAAGTGTGATATAACAGACGATTTGATTGGCTAATGCGCGTGCATTGTGACGCAATAATGCACTGTGATCTGTGGCACTACTTTGCTCTTTCTCTGTTTTTCTCCCTCTTCATCACTGCCTTTTTGCCAAAATTATACACAAAATTATAGAGCTTTTAAAATACAAAATTTACCAGAAAGCAAGAAGGAATAAAACAAAGGAACAAAGCAATTTTCTATAGCTCTACTTATAAAATTAACCGGCTTGGCATTCGTCGAATTTGTTGTTGTCTCGACAAGTTTTGGGTAAAAAGCGTACAAAATAGTCGAGAAAAAAACTTGAAAAAGATACAGCTGGAAGACCAAATACATACAAAAAGGCAACAAAAACTGAATATAAGTGATTT